GGAGATAAGTCAGGCCAAGGCCTCTGTGCATTCAGCAAGTGTGGAAGTCTGAAAAAAGTGGGAATAGGTGCAGATTAACTACTTGTGACCATTTTCACTAGTCACGATTTGCCAGTCAATGTGCTGCTCTTTTGAAGGCACTTGAATTGTTTGACTTAAGGTGGTGATCCGAAGGAGCAGGGAGGGCCTGTCTACCAGTGCAGAAGAGTACTTCCAACTTCCTGAAGGAGAATCTGCAGAGCAGAGTTGAAGCCTTGTCCTTCTGCAGGAAAATGTCCTTATAGGTCATCAAGCTGCACTTTTCACATCATGGTAGCTGGCTCTGAAGCCGATATCCTTGGCACCTTCCTCTGGTGGCAACATCACAGAGTGCCTCTGGACCCCATTACTGCCCTGGTCCTCTCAGGGAATCCAAGCCAGTGTGGCTGGGCAGATTCATTTTCTCCACACTAGGCACACACAGAATACAAATTCTGACTTAGGGAGAACATCCAGGGTCATACATCTGTCACAGTGATAGAGGCATTTCCTCAGTGCAACACCCCATAACCTCCAGCAACTGGAAGCAGTGAGGCACCGGGGGAAAAGATGGAGGCAGAAGGGCAGACAAGGCTGTAGAAACAAAAAGCCCTGGATTAAAACTCTAGTTGCAGTAGTTACAGGGTATGTAACTTGAAACAAGATATGTGACTTAAATTCTTTAAGCCTTGGTTTTCTCATCTGTAAAATGTATTGATACCTGATAGAGTCGTTATGAGTACCAAATAAGACAGTGAACATAAAGCCCTCCTCTATAATCTGGCACACAGTAGGTGTCCAGCAAATGTCAGCATGCGGTAGAACACAGAAGACCTTGCGTATATATGTAAAGTGCCACATGTTGCTACATAGCATTGTTATAAAAATGCTGGAGATACAGCAGACTGACAAGTCAGGGAGAGCTAAGTAGCTCCCTTCTGTACCTCATTTCCTTTACCTGCCTGCCCCTCCAGGATGGAATGTGGAAAGCACAGATACTGCATGGTGGAGATGGATCCTTGACAAAGGCTGGAATAAACAAGCTATGAATTGTTGATTGGGGACTAGGGTTGGGTGAGACAAGCATGGAATAAATGTGGCCCGAGGCACCTGCCAGAATGCCAGTTATGTCACAGCAGAAGCAAAGGTGACAAATGACAGCCACAAGTAACACAGAAACCTCATTTTACCAACAGCTTTAATCTTATTCCCTCATCACATCTTTTAGATTAAAAGATGTTGATTAATTAAGGTTCCCCTTCTTGTAAAGTTTCTAGCTCAACATCTATAATCTAAAATGAAGTCAACTGAAAAAGAATGGACAGAAAATTACATTAATAGCTCACCAACATCTAACAATCACTTGGAAGTAAGAGTTGGCTACATAGAGATTCTTTTTGGAAAGGAGGTGGAATTGATGCCTTACAGCAAGTTTACTTGTAGTTTTGCTTAGTCAGGTTTAAAGTTCCTATTTCTGTTCATTAACACGTAATAATGACTGATACTAATTCTGTGTAGGCAGCCTGGACAGTTCTTTGGCTAGTCTTACTTGGGATCACTCCTGTGGCTGCAGTCATCTGAGTTCAACAGGACTAGGATGACCAAGATGGCCTCTCTTTCATATCTGGCAGCAGGTGCTGGCTGTCGGCCAAGGCACCTTGGTCCATCTCTACATGGCCTTTTGTCCTCCACCAGGCTAGACTGGGCTTCTGCACAGCAGATGTTCTCAGGATTATAGAAGAGTGATAATGGGGGATTCAAAGTTTCTTAAAGCCTAAGCTCTGTAATTCACTCTGTGACATGTTCCCCATATTCTATTGGCAAAACAAGTCACAACTCAGCCCAGATTTAAGGGATGGAGAAAAAGACTCTACCAAGGTAGCCAGACAAGAAATGGGCTAATGAAGAGACATTTCAAATCGGGATAAGGGATTTTTCACATAAAACAGCATGTAGTCATCCTATGCTGAGAATAGAGCTGAGACATATGGGAAGAGGCAGGAAAACCTTCTGCATGGAGTCCTAGGAAAGCTGAGGTGTGCCTGCAAGTGCACTGGGCACTTCCCACCTTGAACATCTATTGTATAATTAACACCAGGCCATGCTGGGAAAATATGGTTTGTTTAGAAGCCTGCAAAGCTTAGTCATTGCCCATCCTTGGCCATCCTATTCTCCCAACTGAAATAAGAAAAATATAGGGAAGAGTCAAAAAAAGAGCAAAAAACAAATTGAGTACTGCAACTAGATGGAAGTGGGAAGCCAAACTGACATTATAATTTTTCCCTCCCTCCCAAGTACACATACTAACATAATCAAACACAGTGTCATCCCTTGACGGCTGAGTGCTTCTGCTTTCTTTAAAGCAGATATTCTCAAATTTCATTCAGTGGCTATTTCCAGTAGTTGCTTATAGAACGATAGCACCCATGTTTAGGTTTGACCTTAAAAACATTTTTTTTACAAGAACCTATAACTTGTTCATGCTCTTTTATTTTTAAAGTATACCTATTCATTTGTGTTTTTCAAAAACTGATGAATTTTCTTTGTAAAGATATGGGCAAGCTTGAGGTACTTTATCCAGCATAAATGGGTCATAAACTGGCAGGGCAGGGGACTCCTACAGTATGTGCAATTTTTATGTTTATAGTATGGAAGCATGTTTGGTAAGAAAACTAAACATTAATAACATGCTGCTTAGGCCCAAATAAAATTACTCCCTAGTAATAAAAATACTATAACTATGTAATAATCAATGCTATATTATCTACTCGTTGATTTTGTATTAAAGAGATCATGTATTTTTAAAAGTCTTTAAAACACCTCAACAGCTTCACGATGTGAGACCCATTCCTGCAGTGTATACCATTAAACCTCTAAAGTCCAGCATTGTACCTAACACTGGGTAGGAATCTAGCACACAAGTTGTGAGTGAAAGGATGGTAATTATTATTGCTATCTTGACAGCCAGGAACAGAGGTGGGTGGGTACCTGGAATCAGTCAAACATTAACTAACAAACAGGAATGATGCTAGATCCATCCATCGAGACAAAAATCATTTTGGGATTTCTGTTGCAATACATGAAGAATGGAGAAGGATAGGAGGAATTATTTTAGGCTGCCCCAGAAATTGAGATTTAGAAAGGATGTTGGCAGTCAACTCCTCTTCATAGCCAGTTCATTGTTCCTCCCTAGGGTGCCATTAGAGCGGACACTCCCTGAACATTTATGAGTGAAGAAACCCTCTTTTTCACAAGCCACTGGGTTTCTTTTTACTTTTTAAAAGTTTTCTTTATATTGAAATCTGCCTCCTTTAATTACTACCTCTGGCCCTACCTTCTGTATTTGACTCTAGATAGACAAAACCCATACTCTATTTACACTCATTCAAATCATTGTATTTCCCCACTGGTGAATATATTACCAAAGTTGGTTGAGTTTCATAATGCAAACCCAAAGGGAAAATTATCTTGAATAATCATATGACAATATGTGGAAAGTTTAGGGGCTGTGTATGCCACCCCATGGTTTTGAACCCTGTGGTTAAAGACATTGAGAGTCAACAGATTAGTCAGGGATTTCTCAAGAGTATTAATTATAAACTTTGAAATCTTGGTCAGTGAAAGTTCATTTTAGTGCATTTTGCAAATATGATCAAAGGTGTTTTCAGTACTGATTTGATGATGCTTAACCACATGGTGAAGAATGAACTTTTTCATTAGAAATTACAGATGGAATAGAGCACATTTTCAGGGAAGGTGTATTGTTGGACTACGACAATTCATGTTCTTTCCCCACCATATCCCTACCCTCTACATCCCCCCATCCCCTAAGCCCCACCCTCCTTCTTGGGACCTCACTGTGTCTGAAAACCTGAAATGGCATTTTGGTTTGCTGCAAAGGAAACTGTGATCTAAACAACATCAGTGCGGCTCAGAGATGACCACCACGTGCGGGCAAACATGGGGCTGACGTAAGCGATGTTGTTAAACCCATACAAATAAACCATGAAAACCTGGGGATTTACTGTGATTTGGGGAGTGAAACAAATTTACGACTGGCTAAAAATTTGAAAATGGAGTAGAATGTGTAGTAGATGAGAAGAAAGTAAGCTGTCCCTCTGCTCTTGTGTAGTTTTAGAAAAATAATATTATTTTGGTAACTTTCTTTTTTTCTGGGAATAAAACAATACACTGGCACCTAAGCCACGGAAAATGAAATAAAAATGCACTAGTGCAGCTTCCAAAACACTGGCTTGCCCCTTCTCCTAACTGCCAAGAATGTCTTATCCCTGCCTTCTAATGGCTGCCTGAACAAGCGAGGGCATCCATGGCGTTCCTTCGCATTGGCATTAACAGCAGATCGATTTTCCGCAGCAGCCAGGTGGAAGGTGCTTAGCGTTGGTCCGCCGTCTCTCTGTATTGAATTTCTAAGAATCGTGGCCTACTGCCAGCCAGGTCTGAAGGTGCTAGTCTCGGGAGACTGGAGCAGGTCTCCTCTGGTTCACCTGTTCTAAGGCTCTTTCTGTTCAGTTGCCTCTGCGCGCCAGAGGGTGGCACCCCAGGCACTCCAGAGGTGAATTGGAGGGGATAGCAGGGGAAGAAAAGGGAGAGGAGCGGATGTTAGAACCAGGAAGGAAGGACGGACCTAGGAGGGACGGGGAGGGAACAGTAATAAATTCTCAGACCTTGGTCTCGAGTTCCCGACTAATTTGGGGGCACAGCCACCCCCACGTTCACGCCTACCCCTTTACGGAAAAAACCTGAGTTTCCATTGGGCTAGGTGTCAGAGTTGGGAATTTCTAAAATAAAAAAGGCTTCTGAGCGTTATTCATGGCCAACAGTTTACACGGGAGAATCCAAAGGGAAACTAGTTTCTGGGGCCTCTGGGTGTGCGGGTGCTTGGGGGTGGGCGGAAAGCCGTGGCACTTAATCGCTGTGAGTGCGCCAACATCTGACCTGTCCCTTTGTGTCGTGTTTTGCAGTTGCTGGATTTGTGCGACTCGTTGAAGGATGATACCCTGAGGGTGATCGCAGCCTTTAACATTCCACACACCAACCTCCACGCACCAACGCCGGAATCTCCAACCCGCGGGCTGCTTGGGCCTTCTACCCTGCACCGCTGCAGCCCCTGGCACGGGAAGGGGCGCGCTCCCAGCTGCCCAAGCTGGGAGCCAAGCTCTAACGGGTGTGGCGGGAAGTGTGGTGGCCCGCCTGCAGCTGCCACGACGCTCGCTCCACTGACGCCTGGAGCTGGGGCCGAGGCCGGGCTGGCACAGGCTGGGCCGCCGCTCTCCGAGAGATTCTGGTGGCAGAGCGAAGGTCCCGCCGAGGCTGGCTACTAGGAAAGAGATCCAGAGGGTCGCCTGGTGTGCTGGATCCCTGTGCCCTTTCCCTGAAACCCAGCTTGGCCTGGCTGCAACCTCTCCCAGCTTTGGTGCCCGATACCCTAAACAATCAGAGTGGGCTCACCCCCGCGAGCGCGCCCCACAGCCGGGTGCCGCCAAAGGTCTCCTGCTGTCAGCAGTGACTCAGATTCCCAGTGATTTAGAAAAGCTGTGGTGCCAAGTGAAAGAAAAAAAAAGCAAACACCCTTAGACCAAAGCAAAAAGCTCCACTCCTTCCGCAAGCGGGCAAAAAGGTTGGGTTCAGCAAGTGATGCTTTTCCAGTGAATCAGACGTTGTGGGGCTCTGCGAGGAAACGCACGGCCCGGGAGAAGGAAGTGGCAGCCTGGAGTTTTGCTCTCGGCAAAGCAAGAACTCGCCTTGTCCTCCCAGGTCGGCGGTTTCCGGACGGCAAGACAAGGCACGGAAAACATTTTTACCAACTGACGCTGTAATTTGTCCTCTAGAAGAGCATAGGTGAAACGTTTAATAAAGAAATTAAGCGATATGGAAGTCGTTCCCACTGCTGGCAGAGGGCGGTGGGGCAAGCCTCAGCAATTTCGGAACTAGGAGAGAGAGACCACTTCGGCAACGCCTGTGGTCCCGGGCAAGGGCCATGGATTTCCCATTTCTCAGATCCCGGCTGCCCGACTTTATTCTTGTTCCTTTCAGTCCAAGCCATCCTCCCTTCTCCCTCCCTTAGTCTCTTGGCAGAGGCAGAAAGGGACACCGCTCTGCCCGCGTCCACTGCAAAGAAGGTGACCTAAAACCCATGGGCCCTTCACACACTGCATTCTCTGCGCTCCGGCCCGGTTCTATGCCGCCGGAGAAGGCCGCAAGGGCTCGCGGCCCCAGACGCTGCCTGGGTCTCGGGGGCGCACGAACCGCCAACTCAGGCCGGCTTCCTTTTAGTGCCCCAAGTAGCGCTTAGTGCGTTGCTTCCCCGGACTCCTTTGTTTTTCAAAGTATTCACGGGGTCGCCAGAGCTAGCTACGTGGGGGCGGCGAGGCTGCAAGGCTGCACAGGAACAGACAACAAGAAATAGGGCTTTCTTCTGCGTGGTTCTTTTCCGGTCCCTGTCTGCACCACCCGACCCCGAGGCGAACGCGGAGCATTGCGGCGTGGGGCGGACTTGGGGCTGTCAGCCCGTGCAGTGGGTTGCGTTGCTCTTCCCCGGGTGCGAAACCAGATGGCCAAAGAGCAGTGTTCTTCGGCGGTAGGAACTTCGAGGCCAGGTCAGGGCAGATCTCCGGCCTGCGAGTCTACTTAGTCGTGTCTACCCTCTTGCCTTTTCCCTCTTGCAGCGAAATAACTGGGCGGGGCCCAGCGCGCGTCCTCCAGCGGCTCCGGGAACCCAAGGCCTTCGTCACTTAGCTCAGAACTCACCTGAGAATGCGCTGAGACTTTGACCTGGGGCTGTGCTGTATCGCACTGACGTGACAGACGTACTTATGAATTTAAAAACTGATCTAGGTGGCCCGACGGCGGGACAATGCCTCCTCACTTGCTTCTCTGCGACAAGGTCTGGTCCTTCTCCCTGCAGGCTGGGGTGCCGGGTAGGGTGGCCCCTTTCCTTAATCCAACTAGCCTGACCTCCCCGGCGGGATGTTCAATTTCCTGACCCACCTCATACAACCCCGCTGCAGTTAGTTGTCTAGAAGCCGGGGCTGGGGAACTGAGGCGTTCTGGAGCAGACAGGAGATGAGAGGTTGGGGGCGGCAACCACGCGTTGAGAGAGCAAACCCAGGTGCAGACTCAGAGGAGTGGAGGGGCGGCATGGAGTTTGGTCTCTAGAGAGGAAGAGAGTGTGGTGCGGACTTCAAGGAGGAAAGAGATGGGGGCGCAAGGGGAGGAGGTACAGGGTGCTTTGCGCCCCCACACCGGGGTCTGAACTCTGCTGTTCTGCTTTCACTGGCCTCAGCCCGTCGAAGGACAGCTCCTGCGAGCTTCTCTGTAAGCCCAACAAATCTCCCGGTTGCTAGCCAAGTGTAGGGCACAACCTTCTCTCTCACTTGGAGACCGCCACTCCTCTCGGCTTTCTTTTCCTAAAAGGATTTTTTTTTCTGAGTGCTTTTTTCATTTCCCTATTTTACCTGCTCTGCACACCCCCGGGAGGCTGCGAAGACGCCCACTGGGACCATGCCTGGCCATTTTCTGGACACCTCCTGTCCCCACAGGCTATGTCTGTTAGGGAGACTGGGCGCGGAAGAAAAGCTGGAGACACTCTGCGGGGTGGCAGGAGGAGGGTGCCTGAGTCCCACGACAGGAGTGGGCAAGGAAGATGCGCAGCCTGCTGATCTGCGTCTCGCCCGGTGCCAGGGACCCTCGGCGGGAGGAGAGCTCAAAGACCTCGCCCTACTCCTTCTCGAGGACCAACAGAGTCTCCGTGTCTGCCCCAGAGGGGCTTAGAAACTCTGGGCACAGTGAGGGTGCAGTGCACCTCCTGAAGCTTTCCTCGGACGGCCGGGCCAGCGGAAGCTGTGAACCGAGCGCCCCCTCTGTGCCGCGCACGCCGCGGCGGCCACCGGGTTGGGGGAGGTGAACGGAAAGCTAGGGTACACTTCGGGGTGGGGGATGGGCGCGCACATGGCCGCCAGCAAGCCAAGTCACTCTGGTAAACAAGCCAGGGTCGCCGGCGCGCGCGGTAGGCAACCCGGTGGGGCCACCCCGCCTTTACCTGTCCAAGCCTGCACGCGCCGGCGGCCGCGGCGCCGCGAGCGGAGCTTGCTAAACCCGCGCGCCGGGGCGGGACCTAGCGGGGGCGGGGTCCGCAGTGATTGGGCGCGGGCGCGGGGCCGCCAGCCAGAGCTGGGCTGCAGGGCTGCGCAGGTTTCACTTCGCTCCGCGCAGCCGCCAGCTCTGCAGTTTGTTGGAGTTCTGCGTCCGGCGCCGGCGCCGCCACTACCACCGCTCAATTTTTGCAGCCACCTTGCGAACCCTGCCACGCTGCGATCTCATCGTCGTATTCGGTTCGCTGCGTTCCCGCCGCCACCGCCTCGGCCCCCTTCCCTTGGCCCTTGTTCCCCCAATGTCTGACTCTGACTCTCGGACTGAGAAACGCAAGGTAAGTACCTCCAAATCCCGGGGAGCGGGTCGGGCACGGATGGAAGACAAGCGCTGGAGCCCGAACGGCACCACCTACTGCCCGCTTACCGTGCACGTGCGAACCGAGACGCTTGCATCGGCCCCGCTTGTCGCCGGCGGGAGGTGGCGATCCGTGTGGGTCGGGTTCCCTCTCGGGCAGGTTCTCTTTAGGGAAAGGTCTCTCGCGCGGAACCTGCGGGCTCTTGGCCGAACTGCGCCGTGGGCCGGGATGCTGCGCGCCGGCGTGGTGAAGGGTCGCAGGCCCGGGGAGCGGGAGGAGCAGCGCTTGCTTTCGGCGCGGGCCGGGGTGGTTGGTAACCCGCCCTGCAGTATGGGGCTGTGCGCCCAGCCTGGAAGTCTCGCCGGCGGGCCTGGTGAAGGGTCGCAAGCCCGCGGAGGGAGAGAGGCAGCGCGTGCTTTCGGCGCTGGCCCGGGAGTTGGGGACCAGCCCGGAAAGTGTTGCCGTGCGCGGGCCTGGTGAAGAGTCTCAGGCCCAGAGAGTGGGAGAGGCAGCGCGTGCTTTCGGCTCCGGCCCGGGAGCTGGGAGCCGGCTCCACAGTACCCGGCTGTGCGTCCAGCCGGAAAGTCTTGCCGCCGGCTCAGGCCGCCCCGAGAGTAGCTGCCGCAGTGTGAGCGAGTTTCGCGTCTTGGATTTTTTGGGCGCGCAGGCCTGTTGCGCAGGATTTGGGGAACTGCGGTGGTGATTTAGCTAACGAGACGGGGCTTTTCCTTTTACTCATTCAGGCCAAGGTTTCGGGGCTGCTGCTGGTTCGTCTTATCTAGCGTACCTGGGGCCCCTGCTTGCTCTGCCGGAATCCTGCGGACGGTGCCATCCGCACGATCCACTGGCAGCGAGAGATTTAGGCCCTCCCCTGACCACCTGGACCGCGCAAGGAACTAGCCGCGACCAGCAGAACCTGCCTGGTCCCTGGGGCCGAGCTATCGCAACGACTTAGGGTGCCCGAGCACATCGACCCTGTTCGCGGTGCAGGCTGGTGCCGCCGTGGCCTCCGAGACCTGTTGCCCCAGGGTGGGCGCTACTGGTGGAGGGCCCGACGGATGCCTGGGCGGAGGGTGTAGATTTACTCGATGAACGCGGACCTGCGCGTCTGTGACCAGGGAAGAAGCTCTTCGGCTTTGACTCGTGTCTGCGGCGCACAAGGAGAAAGGGAGGAAGTTGTTGGAGGAAAATAATTGCGGCAGCTAGGGCTGTGACGGCCGTTGGGGTCTGCCCCCGACGGTCCAAAACAAGGACCAGTGGCGAGGACTGGGCCTGGGGATGGCCCTGTGGGTGCGGGCGCGGCGCAAGTCCTGCTTTGTCTACAGGTGACCCGCTGCCCGGACTGGCGGGAGCTGCTGGGGCGTCTTTCCGGAAGGAGCACAGGGACGGAGCAGGGTAGCCGGGACAGCCGGTCCCCAAATCCTCCCGCGAAGCCGCCGCCACGGCCACGGCCCGAGCCGCGCTCGGAGGAGAGTTTGTCAACAATCGCCGCGCCTTTGGCGGCCTGACCCGTAGGCGCCGCCCCCACCGTGGCTGCCGATTGGCTGCGGCGCGGAGCCACCGCGCGCGGACCAATTGGGAGCGCGGGCACCCGGCGCCAGCGGCGCGGGGAGGTCGGCTGTGCAGGCGGCGGCGGGCGCAGAGCGCAAGGGGTGGAGCGGGAGGAGGCGGAGGATGTTCCCGGCGGCTGCGACCCGGGCCGCGAGGGCCAGAGGGGCAGCGCGCGGAGCCGTCGGCTGCCCGGCGGAGCGCAGCGGCGGGCTGGCCGGAAGGCGTGGGCTCTGTGCTGCGCCGGGGACTCTGAACCCGAGTCCCGGGCTTTGTCTCCTGCATTGTCTTCGTGGTGACGGTCAGGGGCCGCCGGGTCGGCGAAAGGCGCGGGTCGGACGCCGTGGTGCCCCGTCCCGGGCCAGAACGCTGCGCTCTGAAGGGAAGGCTCGGACGTGAGTTTCGGCGTGATTGCCTTTTGAGGGGAGGGTCTGTGGGGTGAAGAGGGTGCGCACCAGTGTTGTCTAGCATTCGGACCTAGTTGTGGACTTGATAGGGGTTGGTATCGGCCCCCCCCCCAGATTTGGAGGTGTGCACCTCACCGTGCGGTTGCACCTCGGAGTTCTGTCTGGTTCGGTGCGGCGCGCAGTACGGGAGCGGGAGGGAGGGACCACGGTTGGAGAGCCCGGAGCTCGGCCGAGCGGCGCTGAGTTACAAACTCTATTGTGACGCACTTACTACGACTGACGGCCGCTGCCAAACCTTCCCCAGACTTGCTGTCCTCAGCATTTTCGGCAAACAATGGGGCCGGAGCAGGGAACACGGCCAGCCGCCTGCAGTCGCTGCATCTGCGCCTTCTTCTATGCTCCAGCCTCCTATCTAACTAACCCCGGGAAATCAGAGCCTCTGGGAATTTCTGACTTAACTCTGTTCTGGGCAAAGAGCACACATGAATAGACTTGAGATAAACTACTCCTTTGGAAATGCCCGCGCGTGTGTGTGCACCAGTTTCACAAGCTGTTGACATTGTTACTGTCTTTTGTTTGGGGTTACGAAGTTTAGTCCCACCCTCTACCAAACAAAAATTATGTCTTTATTATTTTAGGTAACATTTTTATTATTTGGGAGATTGTCAGAACAGTATAGAACATAAAGTATTGGGGATTAACCCTAAGAATTTTTAATGATTAGGTGAGAGCTAATTTGTTTATTCATTGATTTTTTTTTTTTTTTGCTTAAAATAATCTTAGTTTTTATTTTGCTTGCAGAAAAAAAGACCAAATGGCAAAGCAACCTTCCGATGTAAGTTCTGAGTGTGACCGAGAAGGTAGACAATTGCAGCCTGCGGAGAGACCTCCCCAGCTCAGACCTGGGGCCCCTACCTCCCTACAGACAGAGCCACAAGGTAATCCTGAAGGCAATCACGGAGGTGAAGGGGACAGCTGCCTCCACGGCAGCCCTCAGGGCCCGCTGGCCCCACCGGCCAGCCCCGGCCCTTTTGCTACCAGATCCCCGCTTTTCATCTTTGTGAGAAGATCCTCCGTGCTGTCTCGATCCTCCAGTGGGTATTTCTCTTTTGACACAGACAGGAGCCCAGCACCCATGAGTTGTGACAAATCAACACAAACCCCAAGTCCTCCTTGCCAGGCCTTCAACCACTATCTCAGTGCAATGGGTAAGCAATGCCTGGGTAAGAGGCACTTGATGTGTGGATGGTTGAATCTGCTTAAAGGCTGTGTGTGGCAACTAAAATCCCCTTTTAAAACCCTGTAACTGATGTATTCCATGTTTTGATGGGAGTGGAAGATGTGTCAAACTATCAAACCAACATTTTTTTAAAGTTATTAAATTTTGTGGCAGTGATGAGTTCAGGTCCAAACATTAGCTTTCAGGTGTGACTTCATTGTAAGCTAGTGTGTAACCACAACATGTTGTTTTAACCCCCAGCCTTTACATAGTAATGATATTTTGCTTGAAAGGGACCTGATCATTTATAGAAAATTAATAGCTTAATAATCAAATGTGAAGAGCAATGATAATTATTTTTGAAAATGGCACTTTAAAAGAAATGAACTAGTTCATAAAAGCAGTACCACCATAGAACCATGAAAATGGTTTGTTTTCTGCTTAAATTCGTCTTTGGACTTACTGCTCAAAGGGTTCGGACATAGTACTGATCAGATTAGGTTGTAGGTTTTTATTTCAGGGATTAAAGGCAGTTGTAGGGTCTGAACCAAGAGTGGCTAACAGAAATACAGAGAGGCCCACAGCAAAATCATGGAAGGAACCGACCTGATGGAGACTGGTAAACTGGAGAGTATTTGCCCCTCCCTGTTTGGGCCATGCCTAATTGTGGCTGTGAGGGAATGTGGTCTCAGGGTGTTGGGTTTTCCTATATTGCAGGATAACCCAGGAATGCAAAATTGATGCCAAATACCCTGTTTCAACATTGACAACTAATTTAGGTCTTTGAAAACATTGTACAAGCTGAAGGGAAACATTTGCAGTCTTGATTTGGCCCTTGAGCCTGTGACTTTGGGTACATACAGTCCTGGTAACCCTAGTGAGGGGCTGAGTCTGTGTCGATTAACTTGCTGTTCCCCACCAATAGAAAAGGGTCATGTCTTGATCATTAGTCACTGCAATCACATTGACCATTTGTCTAGATTAGCTTGCCGTACATGAACAAGATAGAAGTAATTTGGTAGTTATCAGGAAATACAGTACAGAGTCTATTAAAGTTTAGATTGTAATTCATGATGAAGGCTAACTCAACAAAATCATCAAACTTGACAGTGGAACAAAATGATATTTCTAAATACCATTCAGCTCTGTCTTCATAGGCTTCAGTGAGGTAAATCAGGCAGACCGTTGCCAATGTTACAGAATTGGAAAGAACCTCAGAGTGGTGGTCACTTGTCAGAGGTTGGGCACACCTGTGAAATGGTAGACAGAAATGACAAACGTCCCAGCAGCTGCACAGGTTGGCTGCACGTCTCCTGCTACCTTCTAGCTCCTTTCCCTAAAAGTACTCTTTTAGGGCCCATCCTTAGGGAACAGAGCTAAAAGGTTTATTATTGCTGGTACTACTGCTCATGAACTCATTTCAACCTTAGAAGTTCTTAGTGCTTGTAACTGTTCTACTAGTGAAAATGCTACCCCATATATATGAACTTGCTTGCTTACTAAGTGAGTTAACAGGACTCTGTGTTGTGTACCTTACACATATGGTCTTTAAAGACCCTCTGGAAGCTATTATCACTTTTCACACTTTCACAGCAGACACTTCACACTTGTGGTTATTAAGCTATTTTCTCTAAATAACCAGGTCCTTTTCAAGCAAAATGCATACATTGGTCTCTGTAAGTGGTGGCTTAATGCATGGAAATAGTTTCTCCTTCCCTAGAACTAGGAATAATGGGTGAGATAGTATATTTTTTTAATGTAAAGACAGGCTTGAATGCTTTTTTTTTGGTGATAAATACTATTTTACAAGCTAATTATAAGTACTGTTACTTGAGATGAAAGATAGGGCTTCAAAGATCATAATCTAAATTTTTATGCACAGCTAATGGTTATATCTGTGAAGTAAAGTCATGGATCCTGAAGTGTAATTTTATAGTATTAGCTACATTTTGGTAGATGGTGTGATGAAGAGTTTAATGCATAGGATTAAATTAGAAGTTACTAAGAGTTTGTTTAAAGTTAATGTACCAAGGTAAGTTTTCATTGTTAAGTTTTTGGGAGATTTGTTTTGGAAGAGGATGAGTTGGGGTTCAGGGAGGAAAGGACTTATCCAGATGTGAGTTTCTTAAATTGAAACAAAATTTACAATTTTTGTAGTATGTAGTTAACTTTTCTGGCCATTCTACAATCTTAGCTCATGCCTGAAGACCACTGAAATAATGCTAACTTGCTAAGTGGTTCTCTTGACTTTGTTTAGTGTTTTTACTCAACCCTAACCGTGAAGTTCTTCAATGAAGCTTTTGATAATTTATTGCAAAATACGTTTTCCACAAAGAAGCCATTATGATTGGTTTGAACTAGTGGAACATAAATGTGAGGTTATAAAGAGGTTCGCCTTAGCCAAGGGCTCCTTTAGCCACAAAATAGTTTTTTGCTCAGCAACTTGGGGTAGAGAGTGCATCTTGAAGTTTTGTTCTTGCATCTTTGTTCTAATGAGAAAGTAAAGTCTTATGTGGAATACATAGTAGTTAAGTGTACTAACTGTTTTCACATTTTCCTTTATGTCTCTAATTTTTCTGAATACAGGTTCAAAGAATATGTTTATCTGTGGAGGAACAGATAGAGTTTTTATGCTTTTCCTCAATTTTAGTTTCCTTAGACTCTGGGAGGATTAACTTGAAAAATGATGTCTTATTGAATAATTGATTATTTTTATCAAAATCACTCAGGTGTTCGTTTACTGAGTGCCTTTTTGGATGAGTGTTTTATGCCATATGTGTTTTTAATGCAAATTAAAGTGTAGTCAGTACAATTGGAAATATGAGTTGAGAAAGGTCAGGTTATAGAGGAATGCTACCTCATGTCATGTTAGTAAATGTCTTAAACTTTATACTTGTTCCCTGGCACATCGGAATTCACAGATGGAGGATAATGGCCTTCTTTTTTGCACCCCTCAGAGTCTTCTGGGTACTTCTCTTATAGCTAGCAATTGTCTGACCCCTCTAGTTTGTGAGCTCCCTGGGCAGGGCATGATGCTAGTAAATGCTAGTGAGTGCCTGACGGAGAGAAGCCCAGGAGATGTTGCAAGTGAGTCCAGCTCTGCCTGTTAGCCTTTCCAAGGAGCTCAGTTAAAAATGGAGGACAAATAAAGTTTAAGCAGCAAGAGAAGAATCCTGACCTCTGCTCTGCCAAAATGGTTTTCATGACCTGGATCTAGCTGTAAGGTTTGCCATGTAGGGGTGACAGCTAAGGTCTAGCTCAGCACAGCCCAGCAGGAAAGCCACACATGCATTGAGCACTTGACATAGGGCTAGTCTGAACTGAGTTGTGCTGTCAGTGCTGATACATACTAGATATTGAGAACATAAAAAAGAATGAAAAATAGTTGAATTGTTTTCATATGGGTTACATGTTGAAATGATATTTTAAATATATAAGTTAAATATAAATTTGCATTGCAGTTTAAAAAAATACAAAGCATAAAATTTACCATCTAAACCATTTATTTCTAAGTGTACTGTTCAGAGTGTTAAGTACACTCATTTTGTTGTGCAGCCAATCTCCAGAACTTCTTCACCTTGCCAAACAAATGCCATACTCATTAAACAACTCCCCATTTCCCCTGCCCCCAGCTCTGACAACCATCATTCTATTTTCTGCCTATTAATTTGACAACTTTAGGTACCTTATATAAGTGAAATTTATACAATATTTGCCCTTCTGTGACCGGCTTATTTCACAGTGTCCTCAAGTTTCTTTTATGTTGAAGCATGTCAGAATTTCCTTCCTTTTTAAGGATGAAAGGTTGTTCCATTGTGTGTCTATCACACGTTTTGTTCATCTGTTCATCCATCAGGGGACACTTGCATTGCTTCCACTTTTTGGTTATTATGAGTAGTACTGCTATGAACATGGGTATGCAAATATCTTTTGGGGATTCTGTTTTGAATTTTTTTGGATACATACTTGGAAGTGGAATTGCTGGATCATATGATAATTCTCTTTTTAATTTTTGGGGAACCATCATGCTGTTTTTCATAGAGGCTGTGCCATTTTACATTCCCACCAACAGTGCACAGCGGTTCCAATTTCTCCACCTACTCATCAACACTTTTTTTTTAACAGTAGTCATCCGAATGGATATGAGGTGATATTTCATTGTGGTTTAGATTTATATTTACCTTCTTTGATTTGTGTGGCCACCACCACAGTCAAGGTACAGAACAACAGCACAAGGATTTCTCATGGTACCTTTTTACAGCCACAGCCACCTCTCCCTCTTGCTTGAGCATCTTGTCATATGCTCATTGGCAATTAAATAAAATATATTTTAATATTGACTTCTCTGTTTCTTTACCTTTTTAAATGTGGCTACTAGAAAAATGCAAAATTAGATCTATGGCTGGTGTTTTGTTTTATCTAAACAGACTGGCCTCACAGAGAGAGGAGCTGGAATGTACAGTGCTGCTCTAGCAAGCAGGACTTGACTCTTCCCACTCAGGCCATGTAATTTCCATGAAGCTTACTCCTTAGGTTGACTGATCGACTTAGGAGAAAGAAAGTGATTAGCCAAATCCTGTGAGCATTTTAAACATTAAATGAGCATTGTAAACAGCAGTATACAGAGTTTTGTTTTACGTCTAAACTCCATCGTATATTTGGACTTCAAAAAGTAGATGGTAGAGCACATGCTTCCTCAGCACCTCCAGGCTACCCAGGACCTCACAATAGAGAGGTGTTTTTGATCAGTTTCACATTTAGTCCATTTTATTTGTCTGTGTATGTGTAGGTACTACTATTCAGTTTTATCAAATGTGTAGATTTGTGTGGCCACCACCACAGTCAAGATACAGAACAACTCCACAAGGATTTCTCATGATACCTTTTTATAGCCACAGCCACCTCTCCCTGTTCCTTACCCCTGATAACCACTCATCTGATCGACATGTCTGTACTTCTGTCATTTCATGGATGCTATCTATATAAGTA